TGACAATTCCATACGAGCAACCGTTGCGATTATACAATATATTCTTAGTTGGCGAGGTAACAGTTCCGCAATATTTTCACCTGGTATGTATGCAACGCGCGGAGCAGCGGGGCACTGCAGTATTTTAGTTAGGTCGAACAGCGCTTTGAACCGCTGCCAACAAACCCGTCTCCCTCTTTGTCATCACAGCTTTTCCTCCTCGTCGCACGAAAGCTCCTGTAACCTCGTCTTCGGTATTCATTCCGCCTATACGTATTCTAGGTCAAGTGTGTATTTTAATGATCGCCGGCGAACATTTTTCTTGTTTTCTTATGTCTGTGCACCTCGGCTGAGATAGCGTAGGTGATCGGGTGCCCAGCTATCTCGTAACGTTTCTTCAAGACGCTTTCTGAGAGTCACAGTGTTTAGCCCAATTCCACTTTCGGCGACGCTGAATAATTGGACTTGATGCATTTATAAGACAACTGACTATGCAGAAATTATAAATAATATCGAAAGCAGAATATTTTAATGATGAATGTCTATCTAAAATATTTTTTGAACTGATACAATAAACGTTTTATTTTGCATGAAAGTCAATTGTCCATCAATAATATTTAACAATGAAGTAGTTTGCCTTTGGGATGCGCATTTAGCAAAGTGTTTCAAGTTAAGAAATTTCAATTAAAAAAGAACCGTTTTAAGAGGATGCAAATATATAATTGATTATACACCGTTAGACTACACCGTTGATATGATTTGCTCGCACGTGTTGAAACGGAAGTTGCCGAAGTTATTCGCACACGGAGGGCACTGTCCTTAATGCGTTGCATAACTTACACTCATTAAGGAATCCTCGGTGGCGCCTCTATTTTTACACGGTGAATATCGTGTCGGCGTCCAACCGTTTTACGATTAATTACTGGAATCTCTATGTCGGCGTTGCCTCCTGTTAGACGACGCCAACCGACATTCGTGGTAGACATCTAGATTTCCCTGTCTCTTTAAACGTAATGCATTCGATAATGAACGCTTATTGACACTTAGTAGATTTCCCTGTTGAAAAATTTTTGAACTTTCTTCATCTGGTTTGCAAAGATCAATATAGAATTCTATTTCTAGATGTTGATTCGACAATTATTTTTTATTGGAGATTTTTTGTTGCAGCGATTGTAGCGATTAACCCTTTCACTATTTAATTCATACAATTATTATTTATGTCGCCGTTAACTTGTGAAATTCAGTAATTCATGAAATAATTAATTATTGTGTAATACATGAAATAACTATAGTAAAATAATTATTATTTCATGCAATTGATTCTTCTCGATTAATTCCTATGTTCCAATTTTTGTGAATAATTTTTTTTGTGATTAATTTCTCGAATAATTCCTATTTTCCAAATTTTCTGAAGCGATTGTACATACGTTTTCCAACATTATCCGAATCACTGAGAGTTAATTATTAACATCTGCACGTATGCGTGATCAGATCGTATCGTCCGTTACAATCTCGACAAATAAAAGATAAGGCATTTCGTTCTCCTTTCGTTAATAACAAGAATATTGAATTTATACTTTGTCTCAAAGCGTCGCAATTCATTTTTCAATGCCTGCATTGTTTCTTCAATCAATCGTCTGAACTCTTATTATTTTAATAAAAGCACGGTCTTATCCAGATCGATAATAATCAATTCTTTTGTTAAATTCAACAGCACCTTCTATTTCTTAAATGCCTAGACGCTTCCTTTCCATTTTACCAGTTAGAAGAAAAGGAACAACACATGCTGATTGCTATTTTATTCNAATTGATTCTTCTCGATTAATTCCTATGTTCCAATTTTTGTGAATAATTTTTTTTGTGATTAATTTCTCGAATAATTCCTATTTTCCAAATTTTCTGAAGCGATTGTACATACGTTTTCCAACATTATCCGAATCACTGAGAGTTAATTATTAACATCTGCACGTATGCGTGATCAGATCGTATCGTCCGTTACAATCTCGACAAATAAAAGATAAGGCATTTCGTTCTCCTTTCGTTAATAACAAGAATATTGAATTTATACTTTGTCTCAAAGCGTCGCAATTCATTTTTCAATGCCTGCATTGTTTCTTCAATCAATCGTCTGAACTCTTATTATTTTAATAAAAGCACGGTCTTATCCAGATCGATAATAATCAATTCTTTTGTTAAATTCAACAGCACCTTCTATTTCTTAAATGCCTAGACGCTTCCTTTCCATTTTACCAGTTAGAAGAAAAGGAACAACACATGCTGATTGCTATTTTATTCTAATGAAGGCTACTATCATCGATTGTGTGCGTGATTCGAAACGATTCGAATTTCGTTTCTTTTCTTTCTTATCCAATCGTTAATCAATAGATCGTAATATACGTGCAAGTTTTTTACCCTAAAGATTTTGCAACTGGTAAGAATATTAACCGCACGGATAAAGTACGGAAAGAGGCGTGAAGTCTCACTGAACTCGATCGGACACGCTTTCTGTTTTTACTTCGTCTCTAGAACGGGCGGTTACGCTCCCCGCTCGAATAATAAAAACAACGACTTTCCATTTTCAACGCAAACGATGTTCCTCGGATTGCAGAAAGAAACCGCTGCGTCGGAGGACCCTTAGGAAATCGTGACTAGGCGAGCAATCGTCGTATTCTCTCAGCGATTAGGTATTCTGACGATCACCTTTAACCCTTGTCCGATTTACCGGCTTCATTTAAAAACCAAGGAAGTATTAAATTGGTTCATATGAAACATCATTTTTTTGAAATGTAACAAACGTTCCTATGTCATATCATCATTCGAATAATTTACGCATTCCTTAGTAATTGGATAATTTTATTATCATGAATATATTAGGTGAGTGTCATTTCATGTCCTCATATACAGGATGAGTCGCCTAAGGCAAGTCATCTGAATAACTTCTACCTTTTTTGAGATAAAAAGAAATGCTTCGGACAAAAATTGTTTGGTTTCGAGGGGTTTACGCGCACATATATATTACGCGTATATATGTATATTGGAACTCTTAAGATTTTAACGTTTCTCGAGCAGTTTTAACGATTAATATCATTCAATATCATAAACGTAAAAAAAGATGAGAAATACAATATATATAAGAATCGGAATCGAAATCGAAACCATATTCAGAATTAAAATCGAAATTGAAACCATAATCACAATGAAAATTCCAATTAAATGATAAAACACATATGAGTGCAAGCCTTCAACTATTACAAATGAGATCACCGAGCGAACCATCAAATTCATTCAAGCGAAACGAGAACCAAAATAAAAATAATATCGAGAAGCCGATGTGATGCGCTCGATGGTTGCCGATCGAAGAATTTCAGGAGCGCACACGCCAGAGCTTACGTGCGCTCAACTGGAACTGATTATACGACCTGCGCACAAGCTCATTGGCTAATCTCAAATTTCCTCTGATACCAATTTGCATAATCGCTCCTCCTCGATTTATCGATAATTGTGAAGGTTCATTCGAGTGATTCTAAAGGGGGTGACTAGTGACTTATAGTAGCCACCCCCAAGGTTGGTCACTTTCATTCGACCAAGGATCGGGAAATAGAAATAAAAATAGTTAAGATTCGTTTCCATTCATTTATTAATTAGAATTCAGCCATTTTTATAATACACTACTGGATTTCCTACTGTATTCCGTGTTCTGTCGGAAACAATTTCTTGTATGAAAGATTTGATTGAGAAACGAAAGACGTTCGGAAACATGTAAATATGAAAAATTCGATAGCGCATGAAGTCGCGTGACCAGAATGCGTGGGTAAGGGAGAAACGCATGCCCATACGGGTATGACTAGAAGAGGGTCGTATGGGGATGAGAAGTTAGCTTCCACGTACACGACGCCGCGTTTCTCTCACAGTCATAAAGTATCAGCTGAGTCGAATGCTCACACCGTGCGTTTATGTTCAATCCAATTTTTTTTTAATTTACATTTTTAATACTATTCATCAATTGGTATAACAATTTTCTTCTGTATCTTACAGACTGCGGATGTTTGCAAAAAATTATTTTGATGTACTGCATATTCTCGCATGTTACATGCGTTATTCACATTTTCTGCACAGAACGTTTTTATATGTATAAATGCGTAAAATCCACAGTGTACTTATAAACAACCGATATAATAAGAGTATATTAATACTTCCTCACAAACTTTGGATTACCTCGTATAATGTTAATCAATTTATTTGTTGATTTACGTTATACTTAATACATAGACCACCAAATATAAAATCGGCAGTTAGAAACGATCAATGTGATCCAAAAATGTGAAACTATAAATTGATTGATCAATTAAATACCAGTTGCTATTTAATTTCCTACAATAAAAATCCGAGGTAATTCTGAAAATCCTCAAGTGTTGAGTGTACGACGTGGAACCACGATTTCGCGTCCAATGTGTAAGTACGCACAGAACGACGTGTTGCTATTGCGGATAGCGGCAAGTCAAGTGTCGCAAACACTGTATTCGGTATGTGTACGTTTGTGAGCGAGCCGTGTTAGCAAGGCATGAGCCTCAGAGAGGATGGCCGAAGGAAGGAGAAGATAAAGAAACAGTTACGAGGCAGCCGAGTGCGAGAGGGAGTCGAGCGAAGAAAAAGTAGCGGTGCGCGGTGGGGCGGTTAGCGACAGCGCGTCGGTGTTGGTGAAAAACGCGGGTGTTGGTGACTTGGTGTGTTCGAACGGGTATGCGCTGCGGATCGAAGAGAGAAAGAGCATGGGACGAGAGGGAGACCGATAGGAAGAGTGGCGGGTATAGACAGACAGCGGTAAAAGCGGGTAGAGGAGCAGCACGAAGAAGCAAGTTGGCAGCAAAGATGCCAGATTGAGGACGGGAGCCACCAAGAATCAGCCCCTCCACTTACGTACACTATCGCACCGAATCCGTGTGCTCCGAGCTCGGCTCAACTTCGGCTGTCAGTCAGTAGAGAGAGAAGGCGAAACGCGAAACATCAGTTCGTCACTCTTGCTCCTGATGCGTCTAAGCGGCGCGCAGTCGACTGATTTTTTACGTAAATTTAATTAGATTATAAGATTGATATAAGAAAAAGTGTATAAGATTAACAATTGTGTAAGACATAAAAAAATTCATTTTTTCATGTGGTCTCATGTGATTAGAAGGTGATGAAACATGTTTTCATGCAACGAAAAATTTTCATTCTTCTTTTTAATAATAATAACTTGTGCGGAGAAGGACGGGAATCGAGAATTTCAATAGTCAGTCGTCAGTCGGCTGTGCGCCGCTTGGACTTTAACGCATGAGGAGCAACAGCGACGGACTCATGTTTCGCCTTCTCTTTCTACTGAGCCGAAGTTGAGCCGAGTTCGAAGCACACGGATACGGTGCGATAGTATGCGTAAGTGGAGGGGCTGATTCTCGGTGGTTACCGTCCTCAATCTGGCATCTTTGGTTGGCAGAAGCAGAGACAGTGTCGAGAGGAGAAGCGGTCGGTGTCGGTGGCAGTTCGAGTTTGTCTGTCGTCTGGTCGGGAAACGGTGTGCAGCCAAGGGAATCGATTCGTTGGCGAACGTTCACCGTGTTTAATTCTTATTGTTATTTCCGTTCAACACGGATGAGAATCGTGCGATACCGGTGCCCTCGCCCGCGACCTTCTTCGACATGGGTTAAACTCGATCGTGGTATCGGTAATAATCCGAATCGTAACCCGGCACGCTGACAACTTGTGATTTCCAGTGAAAAATTTTTAAGTGTCAGTGCCAAGAGAGTTCGCGCGCGAACAGTGTCAAAGACATCGTGTTTTCTTGTGTGCACGTTCTCTTTTATCGCGCAGTCCGTTTTATTCGAAACTGAAACAGACACTCGGACTCGAGGAAAAGAAATATCGAGTTCCAACAGCATGGTTGGAAGTGATATAACGCTAGAAAACGCGGATAATGCGGCAACTACGTGACCGACCGAGTCATGTTCACCAATACGAGAGATCAACCTCGACCTCCAAACTCGACAGTTTGGTTTTGAGGAATTCGAGCTCCGTAAGGATAACAGATACTCGGAAATATCTTTTCCAGGCCGTGTGATTGTTGGGAAGCTTGATCTCGCGTGTGCTACGAGAAGGTTACGCTATACACTGGTCCACCAGAAACCGTTAATCGAGACTGGATCGGATCGAGCGAAGTAGGGCAAAGTGCAATAATCCTACTTTAAAGAAGGATCTACTCCTGCGCACCTCTTATTCTAAACCGTGAGAAACTCTTCGAACGCTGTTCACTTCTTCCAAATACATTTTTCTTAACCATTTAGTTTAACCGGATCACCATTCCATGGTAGTATAGTATTATTATATAGAAAGGCTGCAACAAAAACGAAGTACCTTGTTACGTACCAAATAAATCGTCCTGTTAAGAATTTCCGTGAATAAAACTGGAAACTCTACTAAAGCACGAGCCAGTCGTTATCTAATATTCACAAGAAACTGTTTAATCCCATGTGATATCTACTCGTCGTATCGTGTTCGTATAAAAGATAAAAAGATACCGACGGAAAGGCTAGTACGGGATAGTTGTTGAAAAAACGTATTTCTCGATCTCGTATGAAAAATAGGAAAGGGAACAAAGCGTGAGAGTGAGAAAAAGATGAGAAAAGGAAAAGAAGAATTCGCGACTTTGGTTCGAGCGAGGGAGCAGAAGTGCATCTAGAATACAGAAAGAGGTGCGCGCAACAAGTTAAGGGGAAACACGTGACTGAAGAAGCAACTACCCGAGATAAGCCTGGAAGCGACGACCGCGAAACTTCAACATCGTACGGTTCTTCTTCTCGCAAATCTTGAATAAATATAGATAAAGAAGCTCGCTGGCCGAGTTCAAAGTTTTATTCGAACAACGAGGAAGGAGACTAACGAACGCGAGGACCTCGAATTAACTTCTGAATAATGATTATTCATTAGTCAGCCTGGAAAGTCGTTGCTCCGGCCGGATTTCAAAGGAAACGTCGAGTTTTTCGGTTACGAATCGTGGAAGTTGTAAGGAAGATAAAGAGCGGTAATTAGGACGAGAAATTTCGTCATCTTGCGTACTTACTTGTTAGCTACGTGGTCGGACTAGTTGACACGTCCGCGGCCCGGTATTCCGGAGGCCATGTAGCGGTGGCTGGCCGAATTCTTTAAGGAACCAGGGCCCTATTCATGTGCTGTGTGTAGAGAGCCTTGAATGACTTTCCCGTTCTGCAGTTTTGTCTTCGACTCGTCCGACGAGAGGGCGAGACAAATGCCCGTCGCGTCGGAAGATTGGGTGCCGCACCCGGCTAAAATAACCAGTTCCATCACCACCGTCAAAGGTGCCACCATCCAAAGCACAACTACAGCTTGGATGTCGCCATACAGCAGAGCTTCGCCGTCAGAACGTCCGACATCGAACAACAATAACAATAATAACAATAACAATAATAACAACAATAATGGAGTCGTTATACTCGAGGGATGCAGACCGCCGGCTGCCACCACGGCCAGAAGGTTCCTCAGATGGTTCAGCAGACTCGGTCAACCACCCATGGGGAAATCAGGTAAATTTCCAGATCGCTGTCAACATCGTTTAATTATTCTATTAAGACGGATAAGCAGAAAGTAGAAACTGAGTATATTTCGAGTTTTAATTCTGCTCTACTTCCTGTTGTTTAAATCGTAGCGTACGCGAGGAGTACAGTTTTAAGTGCACGACGATAATTATATGGTCCGATTACTTTCGAATCCGGCTAGCCACGTTGGCATGTAGGAGGATTCAAAGAGAATAAGATTGATGTTCCCGCAAAATAACGTAGCCGAGTGTAATCTCGTCTTACTTACTATAGTTAGCTACGCGGTACTGTTAGTCATCGCAGGTGTTCCGTACATATGGCAGTATGACCATTAATAAAAAGGCCATACTTACCAGGCGAAGGCACACTCGCAGAAACCGCAGATAATTGAATAGGAGCGTATGCGGTATGCGCGTGTTCATTTTATAAAAAAACCTCACCGTTAACGGTGATTACTCTCTTATCTCGCTGCACGTTTTTTCGTCGACTAATAAATTCTTTCTGGTATACTGAAAATTATACGAGTTATTGTTTAAAAGTTAGAAAATGTGACCGAATTCGATTTGGAATAATTGATGGCAATATCGAGTAAACGAATTCTGTAGGATGTCTTTATATGTGTGTACAATCTGTGGTACGACCACTGTCAAGTTCCTGGTATTTAACGATGCGTCGGGTATTTGGTGCAATGTACTCGGGCTACCATGACGAATGCAGAATCGTATTAACGGGGCTTCCATTGTATGATCCTTCAACAGGTTATACATATATTTCCACTTTGCTCTTCTTCCTCTTCTATATAAGAAAAGCAGTTCCGTCACGTGAACTCATTGACTTTTCAAATCGCATTCCGATAGTTCAACCTACACGGATGTGCTTCGCATTTGTTCAGAAGTATATTATTTTCATTTGTTATAATCGATTGTTGGATAATAATTCAACGTATATTATAATTGAATGAATGAACATCGACTGAAAAACGTTTGCCGGCGAGCAATAAACTGGAAATGGCGTGACGCGAGTTAAGCGTAGAAAAACTAATTCTAATGGAACGCCAATTACGAAAGTAATTTACACCGAAGCCTTTAATTTGTATCATAAATATACGAAAGATTGTTAATTACGAATGCACGCGCGATAAATATTTATAGTTTCTAAGCTTCTCTACTGTGAGCGCACAATTTTAATAACGTGGCGGATGAATTAAAAACAAAATGGTTGCCAGGTAATTACGTAATATTTAGTTTGTTCGGGGAATAAGCTTGGTGAGGTGAAACGAGTCGATCGATGATCCGATGGCTCTACGTTGTAGATTGTATTAGTCCGGTTTCGGAGAACGTGTGTGTTGATGTTGATAATGTTTTCGATGCGAAGCGGGTCAGGCACGTGACGAAATATAAATCGGTTGGCTAACGTTTCGTTAATAACACGAACACGGTAATCTTCATACATCGCATTAAATCTTTTAATAGATACCTCAACGTGACCATTGTTATAACCAGACTGCAGATTTTTATGCAATTATGGGTAATCGTTTAAAGAAATGTAATAAGAGTTTCCTCTACCATTTATTCACTGGAATATGTACTGATATCTTACATAGCTTTATGCATTATATGAAGCTTCTTCACATATTCAATTTTTTCATAAGTTCAGCAAGTACACGTTTTTATATTAAATGTAATTATTAGTAGACTTCGAATTATGTGCATGAAAAAAGAAATTGTATGTGCAGAAAATATAAATGCACCATCGAATGCATAGAAGTATGGAAAATATCAAGAATGAGTGCGTTTTGCACTATTCAAATAATTATCTAAAATACATTTTTCTAACTGATGTTATAAATGTTTTAGTTCAGATAAAAATTCGCAATTTAGGTACGGAACAGTTTAATTTTTATTAATAAAGAAGAATATCAATTACAGTGAGAGCCGAAAGCGATTGTACACCTCCGTACGCTTCCCAGAGATATTCATTGATACCGCGGTAATTGCAACCGTTGAGTTCTAGTAATGAATCGCACCTTGCGCGGTTATTGTTGGTACGTTGAACCTTTTTAACGAAGGTCTTCTCGTTCTATTAACTATAACGCGCGCAGTTTCGTCTGTGAGAATGTTTTCTCGCGGCAAACATGTTGTAACGTTATTTGAAATAACGAGTGTTCCGTGAACAAAAGGAGATTATTGTTGAGATTGAAACTCCCCAGCAACCGTAGCGCGACACGATAACTAGACCGGAAAGAGGACGAACCGTAAACTTGATAAATAAACATTAGACTTGGTGTGCAAACCGGGTCGCGATCTTCGCTGGCAACCGCATGCCACAGAATTCGTAATAATCGCGTTGCTCCCTTACATCAACATAAAAATACTTATTATGAAACGTTATATTATTTATCGTATCAATCAGGAAATGAAGCATTATATTAATTGTATCAATTCTTGCATCAATCATTATATGAAACATGTTAAAAAAAGATGATAACATTCTTCTTTTTTCCCACTTGTAATAGCAATTTGTGTATGAAACATTTTGTTCTTATTATGAATTATGTTACACTACACACTTCCTTTGTTTTCAGCATTGATTTATGAAAGTACTTGGATATCTGTTTGTAGAAAATGTGGCTACTTATTGAAATTGAGAAAGACTGGAGTCATATTGAACAATGATAACAATGTCGTACTATTTGAGCTTCTAATTATTCTAATGAGCGAAAAAACAAGTTACGTAACGTTCCTATTTATAACTGTTAGTACCGTCGATTGTCCTACCTTATTCAGTCGTAAGTTAAGGTAGACACAGGCTGAGCATCAAATTACTTCTTCAGCTGACATGTAAGCTCATCGAGTCTAGTTGTAGTTTTACAGAAAACTTGTAGATAACGAGTCCCTTTTGATATCGATTATTGATTATCCATGAAAATTCTATTAACGATTATACAATTAACAAGTATACTGTTGTAATGAGTGTGCAGAGTAAAATTCGAGAAAGAACGGGAGAAACTTGAACGATGTCGCGTCCGCTCGTTGTGTAATTGTTGACTCGTTTATGCGTGGGTGAAGCTGAGTACCACCTGGCAACGTTGCGGGCAAAATGGGAGTTGGGATTCGAATCACGATCGGTTTCCCTTTGTACTGAATCAACGGAACGCTTGGAACGATTCCGGGAATTCTACGAACAATGATAATTAATTTCCGCCGAGCTTGGATTTTTACATTCACTAACATAAGTCGAGAGTAGATACGCGGCCAAGAATGCGAAGTTTTTATACCCCGATTCAGTCTGTTTTGAAAAAATGACTAAATTTCATTCGGCACAGAGCGTTTCTTTGTGACGAAAGCTCGTTGTCACGCACCGCGCTATCAGATACGAGGTCATTGGCTTGTAATCTCCCAAGGAGGTTACACACAGGTGCTCAAGCAAGAATACGCGCCGCGTGTGTCACTTGCTTTAAATCGTCTTCGTATGCGAACGCAAACTCGCCTGTCGTGCCGTACATCATAAACGTGTATTCTACTTTTCTCTTTGCTTTATGATAGAATACGTATCAGTAGAAACGTATAATGTAACTTCCACCAGAAGCACTTTTCGGCACAAGCCATAGACATTTATGAATTTCTACGATTTTTCGTAATATCTTCGATTTTCAATTTATGTTTTCAGATGATTTATGTCGGTTTTGAGTCTGCTCTTTCATACAGTCAAATTAGGAACAAAACAAATTTCAATAAATGTCCCCACTTTTTGAAGAATTGACATAGCTAGTTTTGAATGCTGAACAGGGATTTGAAGCAATAAATAAAAATACTTAATTTGAAGGATGACAAAAGTTGTTAATGTTAAAGTACATGGAACGATAGCCGTTCGAAATTGACGCCTTGACGACTAAAGACGTAGTCCTGTTTCGGGTCTGCATGTTGACCTGGGCACATCCTGGGTACGGCAGAAACCGACGTTACATGGCTCATAAAAACATTTGTTCCCAATCGGTGATTTTCCGACGGTCACAAGTCGTAAAACATTTGGACATCAAACGATGACCAACTCTAACGAGAACAAAGAGTCCTAAAATCCTTACCGGTATAAACCCTTAGCAAACCCTTAGCGGTACCAAATGATCATAAAATACATTTTGAACTAAGGAAAGACTTTCAGCCCAAATGTCCAAGTACGCGCTTCAACAGACGCTATAAGGTTAATATCCCAATTTCTATTGACTGGTTTATCTTTCTATAATTTTAAAATAACATACGGAATTATAGAGAAATACATCAGTGAGTAGAAATTGTACATTTATCTTTTATATTTCGTGCCCTGCGCATATAAATGTTTGATAAACACAGAAAGCTAATGCTGAGATACGTCCGCGTGAATATGATAATGGCAGATATATGAAATTCGGTGAAACTGCGAGGTATATCTCGCATTTAGCCGTCGAGAAATCGAAAGTGCGATTAGTTTTCGTGGCACGCGCGCGTGTAACGGCGTTTCGAAATTCGGAGCAAGATCCTTAAAGTAGGAATTGAAATTCTGTGGGAAGACGAATTTAATATTCTGTAGAGAACTAAGACTCGGCGAGCACGGGGCCTTTCCGTCGATCGCAAAAGGTTATCACTCGCGAGAAATTGAAATCGTTCGCGATTACTTTAACTATTAAACAAAACTTCACTGAACTCCTTAGTGTATTCCATCGAACTGCCAACTGCGAATGAAAATTATGCAAGCCCATTAATCCACAATGCTTGCGCACGTTCTTGAGTTAAAATGAGCAGATTTTAGGATTTGTAATTTTTAATGTATTTGGGATCATGATTTGAAATTCAATTATTTAGGAATGTGATTTTATGTAAAATAAAACATTTATGATATTAGTTTAACACTAGAACTGTCGGCGATTGACGTATACCTGCTTCTGTCTGAGCAATCAAAATGACTTGTTTTTCAAATTAATAAATCAGTTAAGAAAACACAACAATTTTTAC